GCCCAAGTAGTAAAATCGTGTTAAGAGAACAATGGTGGAAGTGGGAAGTTGAGATCAACAAAAGGCGGAAAACAAAACCTTCCCCTGTCTACACCCAACCACGTATCCTCTGATCTAGAAGCATGAAACGCAAAGAGACCTGTCAGTGTGGCTGCATCATTTAAATGCAGCATTTGTGGTAACTTTTCACAGATCAAGAATTCTCGCGTTCAAAAGCAAATGCACTGTGCTACTCTTGTGCAGTTCCACCAAGGGCCGAATTATGCATTTATCATGCAAATTGTATGTTCACATATACAAAAGCACGTTATATGGGGTGAAAAACCACCACTACCAGAAATGCCAATAACGATTCGTCTTTTGCGTTCGTCATCAAGACGTCGACGGTGCGTCGACGTGCGACGGTGCAAGATTACGTGTCACATTGCTGGGCTGTGCTTGCAGTAGATATCCACTGGATCCAATTTGATGCCTTCGTTGCCCGCCATCCGCTTTAGGAGCATCATCTGAATTCTTGGCTTATTCATGTGCACGGTACAAAATGAGGCCCCACCACTTACTCATGACATCATTGCTGCTGATGCCGGTAACTGTAGCAGCAGGTAGCATATCTCATATTACATTTGCATGGGTCGACATCCACACCAATTACTCATGTAGGCACCCCCAATGTAGTCAAGTGGATCACTTTGTGTGAAAACACCTGATGTATGTACTAAGGGGAAAGACTAATTACTTATTTTATTAACCTGCAAGTGAATAATATGCGATTAAAGGTGCCAGAGGCAAAGGACCAAAGTAAGCAGTATGCAGCAGAGGACAGCAGAAGCAAGTGGAACGGGAGTTAATTCACAGCACACCTCACGCATAACTCAAAAGGACTATAGACTTTCAATTTACGCAAAAGACGTACAACCATTCTCTCAAGACACCCTATCTCCATAAGATAGGTTATGGAGCACACAATCAAACCGATAAAAATTAACAAGCGCTGAAGTTGAGACAAACAAAGGACCTACATTACATCTCACACATCATCTAAATGTAGGAAAAAATGAACATTTGCACTTCCAACACAAGCAAATTTTGTCAAGAAGATCACTAAACATGGACCAGCT